ACCGAACATGAAAATAGGTGCAAGGACTAAACAGTTTCCATCATGCTTTATTCGTAGCATTGACTAATTGCTTCTTTGTATAATATATTGGCTTTACTGGCATCATTAGCACCTATATTATTACTGACACCTGGTCCCCTGCAGCCCTTTGTCCCCCTTTAGTTGATTTTATTCGATAAGCAAACGACATCTTGAAGATTTTTCAGATATTACTCTTCACATCAAAAGTGTGGATCTGACTGACCATGGCTGATTTTTATACACTTCAAACTGTCTTGACTAAAAAAGTCAAAAAAACCGCATCCAATATTTGCTTAATTTCATGCAGCCAGCGAGGTTTCTGAAATATCTCAATCGAGCTCAGACTGGGTCAACCAGTCGCATTGCTTTGATGATAAAGCCTAATTAATTGAACATTAAGAATTATACAAGTATTTTAAAATTTGTTAACTTCATTTACATTCCTTTGATCAGTTAAGTGCGGATTGAACCACAAAGTGGGATTTTTGAATAAAAATACTATTGACAAGGAAAGAGAATCAAATATTTTTTTAAGTAATTATTTTAAACCTATTAAGCACGRAATAGTTAATAGAACATATTTACGATATGTGTTTAAGACTGCTAATTAGCTACCAAAAGAAGAATGAAATACAAATAAATGAACACTAAAGAGAAAAGCTATAAGAAATAATGTTTATAGGTAGAATRTTAGAAAATCTCTTACAAAGATAATGTACAATAGAATTATTTCATTGAACGCAGATACATTTTTTTACTTTATTCAAATTTGTTGCAACCTGTAAAGGTTACAGGTATCGTATGTAATTTCCTTTTTACATTTAGACATCTAAATATTTACTGAAATGTCTAATAAATTGAAAACCGATGATTTTTTAGCAGTAAGCGTTTGAATGAAGTGTCTATCTATCAATATAACGTTCCTATGTATAGTGTTTAGTGACCCTTTTTTTGATTGATATAACTGAGACCTACCTTCGACAGTCAACACCATGAAACACCATAAAGTCATCAAAAAAGGCTTCATCGTTGCTCGCTTTGACCTAGAAATAAATGTAAACAAAATATATCAATGGTGTTCATAAAAATTTAAATGAAATTCGGCTATTACCACTGACTCCGAGCTTAAAAACCATTGAATTAATGAGGCTATAGGTTTGAATCAGCTGCCAAAAAGGTAACGATAGAGCATTGTGATACTGAAACATTTCCTTGTTGTTCAATTTGACAGCCCGTCCGATGATTTTWAGCTCTTTGGCCAGTAATAAATGCTCAGTCTAGTCGAGTTAAAACTTAAACATTGAGGCTGTAGAATTACGTACTATAGCTTTTTAATCGGAACTTTGCTGAAAATGTTCTTCACATGGAGTACTGTGGGAAGTACTGTGAACGGCTTTTACACAAAATGTCTTCGCCGTCGTCGACGTACTGCGGTTTGATATCCTGCTGCGAGATAGCTTGAATACCACTCTTTCTTGCTCAAGTAGCCTCGTTGTCAATGAATATTAAATTGTAAAAAAATGCAGACGATTTCCACGTACTTCAAGGTATTGTTTGCGTTTAATATTTAGCGCGGCGAGTCTTCACGCATGCGTAGTTTCGCGCCTATACAATCCAATTGTCATCTCTATCAAATCAATTAGTTTTGCAAATTACTCTTGGCCTAATTAGTCGAAATGAGACRTGTTRAATTAAACATTGACGAAAATAGCTTTGAGTGAGTTAAAAGGCAGTTCAGGCARACATTGGATGACGAGTTTGCCATTGATAACAAAACATAACCACAGGACAAGATTATTTTGACGACAAGACACACGAATGCCATATGAAGCAGGCTTCATAGCGATTGTAACACCGTTCTTTTTAAGATTTTGAAAACGTATACAAAACGGATTCCTTTGGTCTTCTCGCTGTTCGGGATTTTTTTCAGTATTCATTACAAAATCCAGTGGAATTTGTTTTATTTTTCTATAACCGCACTTGTTATCATTTTTTAATATAATTCTAATTAAATAAAATTCTGTCTTTTTAGGAAATTTAAGTAATTTGATGGACTAAAAGTTATGAATAGCACAGTTCATTTCTCAGTGATTCAGGGCTAACTTGCCAATTTTTTAGCATTTTTGTTGTTGTTGCTATTGTTTTTAATTTTTTTGTTGCTATTGTTGTTGTTGCTTTTTTTTCGCACTGGTCAGGCAGTAGTTCAATCTAATTGACCGGCAATRCGTTAGATTTAGAAGAGAATAGATAAAATTTATTTCTTAGAGTTATTAGTTTYGATTAATGACTGACCCAAAAATGCAAAATTTACAATTTTTGATCAAGAGATACATTTTCACGACCTCGTACTTAAACGTTGGACAGATAGTTTTTATCATATAGTAATCCTGTTTTAACCAGTTTCACGCTAGCCTATATCCTCGACTAGGACTGATGTATGTATACCACAATCTCTTCGTCAAGCACAACACCGATTATATCTAATGCATATCAATGTTATTCAAACGAAATGGCACCGGGTGCCCGCTGGCATGAAATCTAATGTTGTTCTCTTTTTTTAATATAAAAAGAATTGCTCGACGACGCCCTGATACAAGTATCTAGAAAAATAACCTACTAGAACCCTTTCCTTACCTTTAGTCGTATCTAAAACACTGGAAAAAATCGCGCGCCATAAAAATTGTAAATTTGATGGAAATGATTTACATCAAGTTTACATCATTTTGGACACTTACATCATATTTACATCAAATTTACAACCTTTATGTCGCGCGATTTTTCCAGTGAAACGTTCAGGAGAAATTTAAAACTCTATGATACTGGCCATTAGCGACTGTTAACTTATAGAATGTAGGTCAATATAGCATGATAAGTAAAAGCAATTAAAGACGTGTACAGTAAAAAAAGTAGGTGAAATAACTTGCTAACGTTTCGGACGTTAACACTTCGTCGGAGTAAAGTCAGTCCATGCATGCAGTACTTTTAGTAGAAAGGAAACTAACAGTATTTTTTAAGCAATTTATTGTTATTGAATTAAAACTGCAATTAAATGTTGGTCTGGTTGAAACCGTACCGTCGGTTAGTGTCACTGACTTGGATATTGTTATTTTTTCACTTAACAACAAAATGTTCTGAAGGGGCGCGCTCTATGCACTGGAGTGTACACCTTCGCGGCCAGCACCATCGAGTCACGTGGTCGACACTCTGTTTAAGGTGACGTCATATATCTAGCCTGCGTAGCCGCTCTTGCCCAAACTCTCTCGGAGCGGCTAGGAACGCCTGGCTACGCAGGTCATCATATATCATAAATACTATTCTCATTCTCAATGATAGAAACAAAAATCATCAGAATAACGCACAGTATTCTGGTCCAAAACACCTCATCCTTTTCTTAAGTTATCTCTYTTTGCAGAGATCATTACATACTATCCTATAAATCAATATTTTGCTTTYTTTGTAAATACTCTACATAACTAGTCTCATTAGTAAGCATTTTATCACATAATGAAGTCACGTGAGTAGAGGAGGCGTCGTCATGCGCACAAACGTCCTTCMAGTAGTCCAGCTTTTGTCTGAACTTATTTACATCATCATAGAACTGGCTCCCATACTGACGAACKTTTTCCCAAAATGTTTSATTAAAATATTTATAAAGCAAGGTATCACCACTGTTCCATTCCCTGATTTTCTGTTTGTATTTGTCAATATTAGTTTTCTTGTTCATAAGTCTTTTATTTAGCGCAATATAAACCACTTCGTCGAGCGTCCAGCACATTAGGTTCTTAAGAAGMACCATTGATTCATTAAAGTATTCATTCAACATAACGAGATCAAATTCCTTATCAATCCGTTTAATATGTGCTCGCATCTTAGCTTCGCTATCATCTTCTTCAGGCGCCAACCCYAAGTCAAATAACATACCATTTCGAGTAAGCTGYAACCTTTGAAAATCCAAAGCCGATATCATTTCAACACTTAGAGCCCGTTCCAAATAAAACCAAGGTTTTTCAATAAACTCGCCTAAAGGATATGACGAATTTATTCCCAAAATCGTGCCCAGTTCAAAATGTTCGAAAACTGAGTCAAACTGGTCAGCGGGATCACGAATGATMGTAACGTGAATAGTRTTGYTGGGCATTATTAGATCCAGTTCCTGGCGGTTGTACCGGGCGTGGTTGCATAGTATGTTTGGTRKTTTGCCRTGCAGGGGCGCRTAAGAGTGGGAACTAAACAAGTATGGCCAACCAAGGCGGTAGCGGCCTKTCTTTGGAAGAATAAACGTTAAGTTGTGTTTGTCACCATATCGGTTGAGAATGTTTGTTACAGTGGAACTGCCTGTTCGATGGGTTTTCAGGAAGGCAATGTTAGTTCGAGGAGAACATTGGATCTTGCTTGTAAGATTCGTACCAAGCCTGACAAGACTGAAAAAGAAAACCACGATAAAAAACTCGTAAGTGTAAAAAGCTAAGAAAGTGCGAATAACTGTGACATGAAGTATATTCCATTTTATAATACAGTTCCATACACCATAGCCCGCAATGATAGATCTTCTGTCACAATTCTTTGCATGTATCAATCACTGCAAGCTTAGCTGATGCCTCGCTTTAATGCAAAGGCTTGGCTACTCAGTTTYCAAGATGGCGCTGGTAACAAAGAGAGAAATAGYATTTTGATACAGCTAAGAACAKTGGTAGYAGAGAATGTGAGGAGTTGAGTACCAGTCATAATATATTACGTTTGGACGCCAAGACTTRATWGTGTAGAAGAGTTGACAGCGTTCAGTTCATGCCATAGTCAGTCGAGTATCTTCGTCTATTCCCAGCAGCTGACACTTTTTTCTTACTAGCAAATTCTATTCTAAACTATTCTCCGTCTGCAAATGACGTCACTTTCTAGGGCTATATTTGTCTAAATGATCATAAAAAGATTTCTCATAATTCTATTGTACTAAAATGTACACCAAAATGGCCGCCATATCTTTTCTTCTATATTTCTCATTTCAGGAGTTATAAATACAAAACCAACAATTTTTCAGTCATTTCTCCAATGAGGGGATTCCCTAATGTRTTCGTAAAAACGGGGTCTTCTTAAAGCGCGAGTTGTGTACGTGTACCTGTAATTATATAATTCCTACCGCTGAGGTGTTCGTTTGTACCTGACRTATAGTTAAAGTGTCTGTATTCTGAGAGAGGTGTTGAGCTACCCTATRATTAACTTAACTACATGGGATTTACTAACCTGTCAATRCGCTGCYCCTCATCAAATTTCTCAATCAAAGCAGTTTTCAACTTGGACAGGGATCGCTCGTGCCTCACAATCACTTCATGTGCTTGTCTATTGTTGTACAAAAAGAAGACGCAAACKAGAAGGCAAAGAATGAAGATYAACCTCTCCTTTGATCGACTGGTGCGCGGGTATAGGTTCTTTGGAGCAACAAATCTTTCTGTTATCATTATATTTTTCTGCGTTTCGAGTTTCGCTTTTGTTGGGTTCACGTCTAGACTTTCAACAAACCATTTCATATGAATACTCCAGCGGTGATGAACGCTAATTATTTCAATTTACCATAAAATCAGCGCAATATTTGCTCGAACAAAATAACCGTTGATTGTTCCTCAGTTCTACATGCTGATGATCATTATAATAAACGGGATATCATCCTTTGTAAATGAACATTATATTCTAGATTCTAGACAATATTTTAAGTGGGTTATGTTTAAAAAGATCAAGTGTTKTGGTACAGGTGTCCTACATCAACATTTTGTGCCATAATTGTTATATTACTGGTAGC